GAGGTCTTTCCGGATAAGTGAGCTCATTTATTTGCTGAAGAAGTGGACACATTAGCACCTTCATTATTCCTGCAATGCAGAAACCCATCAAGAGAAAGAAAGAAAAAGTGAAAATGGCCAAATAAATCAAAGCCAATTTCTGTCTATGCAAGCATAATGAGGGTTGGTTTTGAAAGAACTACAAATATCACTTAACAAATACAACTGCATTGTAAATGTTTAGGTGGCGAGAGCTTTTCAACATGGCCCAACTAAACATGTGGAGTTTGTAAATTGCCCATTCATATACTTAAAAGTAAAGTACCTATTTTTTTTATGCTATATCCCCTTTAGGATTGAGGCAATCATTCTTTCTCTTTATGATCTTTGAATTGCTATGACTTCTTGGGAAAGATAGTACAGTGGTTTTTGCTACCTTCTCTAGGATATGGAATTCAGGCTTTAGACTGATTCCCACACAAAACTAGAGAGCCTAGTCTACCCTGCTATTTAACCCACAACTCTTGAGGAGGAGAAATGAATTTATACTTTTCCAAGAGGAAAAGTGAACATAACAAACTAGCTTGGAATTTGAACTTGGCTCATCAAGTTCACTTTCCGTGCAAATATCTATAACACTAGCTACACTAGAATCTTGTAGCAGATTTATACAAAAATGTAATTATTGAAAATAAATCCTTGCTGACAAGGAAAACAAGAAAAAAAAAAATCACTAAGTATAGGATTGATTTTTATAAAAATACCAAATGTACCAAATTTTGAGAGCCAATCCTTAAATAAAATGCGGTGAGTCAGCACTACAAAGCAGATGAAATGTTACCTTGACTGGAAAGAGTAGTAAACAAATTGTCCTCCTTGAGAGAGTATTAACTTGACATGAACAAATCAAACAGGTTGAACTTTCAGTCACTGATTAGACAATCAAGACTTAATCTTGTTCATATCAGAAAAATAGAAGCTTTCAAGTTGAAAAAGAACTGACCAAAATATTTGCTTTCTTCTTTCATCTTGTCTTCTCACAGAATATATCAGATATTTCATTATTCTACAAAGCAGAAGGTACACACACACACAAAGAAAAAAAAACAGAAAAGAAACAGAGCCTGATAGTGCAAGAGTAAAAAAAAAAAAAACAACCTACCAAAAATAAAAGGCTTATCGCAACAAGGAAGAACAATTCTCCAAGTCTCTAGCAATTCCTGGATTTTATCAACAAACCAAATGGCAAAAAGAATGTGAAAGGCTTATACAAGTTTGATTGTATAAAGAAGTAAATAAGTAAATAATTTTATCATACCAATATTTATCTAGGTTATGTTGACCTACAAATCATCCGTTCCTTGCTTCTACATTATACAAGGGTAAATCAATTATCACAGTATAATGTTTGATCTGTGCGCTCAATGGAGTAGCAGTGGATTAAGTGAAGGCACAAGAGAGATTATGTTGATAAACATTTGCGTTGTAAAATAATTTTTTTCATCATCAAGCTACCAAGATGATGACACACAAAGGGTACTGAAAAAGTTCTCAGCTTGACCCAAGAAAAAAAAAAAAAAATGTTGTTGAGCCAAAAACTTTTCAAAAACTCCTGTATGCATATATTTTAAAGTTAAGCAGTTTCTATACAGTGAATTAGCTGAAGATAAAGATTAAAAAGACCAGCAGTACCCAAAACCAAAATTGAACAATGAAGACTGCATTAAGATAACACAGTGAAGAAGGCCACAATCATGTCTTCAAAGGACTGGGAAGGTCTAATGCTAGATCGTTCATCCTGGACAAAAGTAGGAAAGAATGGTAAAGGGGACTTTAAATAGAATTGTGTTGCTCATGAACCCCCCCCAAAAAAAAAAAAAAAAAAACCTTAACTTAAGAAGAGAGCTATTCAAAAAAGGTCCTGAGGTTAATTTCCCAGAAGCTTATTACAAAATTTCATCTAACATGTAAATGAATGTGGTTGCATCTGTTTTAGTAGGGTAGAGCTCAAAAATCAAAGATAGAAATTCATTATGCATTATGAGGTATTTTTGCATAACAACTACAGCCAAAAAACATCCAATGTTGCTATCTTTGTATAAGACAATGTAAAACTGTAGCAGGACTAAAAAGCCACATCTAGACTGCCCATATTTGAGGATGGATCAAGCAATGGCACTGCTTAAAATGGAATAACTTAATGTTTTTGTTGTCTGGCAGGGAGAAGTCAAAGATGATTTACAATGGGATGGATCTCAAATTTGTTGAACTGAATTTGCATGTTTTTGTTGTTGAGAAATTGATGTCCATCTGTCATTCCTTTGGAGAATTTACAAAATAGAGAGATTACTAAATAACTTTTGTTATGTGGTTTGCATCAGTTTGGTTCAGTAGGCAAGGTAAGATTACACTGTGGCCAATCTTTAAATAGTACTTCTCAATTCCTCATTGCATATCAAAGGGGAAAGTAAATTCTATTAACAATAACATGGCTAACATATAAATTGGCACATTACCTTTGTTTATAATGAATAATAGCAATGGTTATAATGAATAATAGCAATAGCCTTTTTAAAAATCTTTTCTTCAAAAGATGTCTACATTAAGGAAAATAGAACATGCAACAAATGTCTTTTAGGAATCTCTCAAAATGGCAACCTAATCTCACAAAACATCTACTCATTAACTGATCAAAAGGATTCTAATAAAATTTTAATTATTATTGTAATTAAGAGAAAAAACAAAAATTTAATAACTGAAAATCCCAGTAAAGAATTCAACTAAAGAGCAAAGAGATTCAAGTCTCCGCCTTTATAAATTTCTTTTTGGTGGTGGGATGGTTCTCAGTATACAATTGTTAAGGGCTTCTCGCAGAACTCCAGATAGGTGATTTAAAAGAGGAAAAAAAAATAGTTTTCAGATATTAGGAATACATAAATGAATTGAATACAACAAACATAAAAGAGAAAAACAAAACTTATCTAAATATCCAAACAGAATGGCAGAAATGACAATAATACCTATGACAATGTGACAAAAACGTAGTTAATAGTTATTTTTCTTTTTAACACACTACAAATAATATTACAAAACAGAGATTAAAATGAAAATAAAGTCTCATCAAAGGATTTTGTTGCAGTCTTCAAATTTTGATAATCTCTTATTACCAAATAATAGAATTGTTGGCATTGGTCTTCAATTTCTTTATTGTAGGTTCACTGTGAAATATTTCAAAAACTACTCTATATTATTTATTTTAATTTTTTCAATGTTTGAAGTCATTTTTAAGTATATTATCTATTTCTTATTTTGTTTCCATGCAACTTTAGTGAGACCATCAATCTATGGTTGCAAAAGGAAGATCTCAGTGAAATATGAACTTACTGATTGAAAATTATAACTTTTGCTATCACATCTAATCTATAAATTTGGTCTTCATTCTTTCCCTGATTGATCTCTCGTGCAGTCAGCTATATACATATATATACGACATTTTAACGTTTTGTAATATAATTGATTTCCTGTATCATAGTTTGATGAACTTTTGTTAAAAAATAATGAAGGTTTAATTCACTTTATTAAAAAAATAAAAAACAAAGTCACCCTCCAACACAAAATTTATAAAATTGAATGTATTGTAATTACATTCATACTATGCCTTTCTGGAACCTTCTAGAAATTGTTTTTGTTTATTTGTAACTTTGTATGTTAGGCTATAAAGTGAAATGCATTAAAAATACATAAATACTATCCTTTTACATCATTAGCAAATAGAAAAAGAAAGCTTCTGAAAATCTGCAATTTTTGTTCATTTGTAAAATTGTATGCTATGCTATAAACTGTTAAATGTGTTAGAAATACTTAAGTTCTATCCAATTACATCATTAGTAAATTAAAAAATAAAACTTCTGGAATATTTTGATTTTTTACTCTTATTGTATATATATGGTAAAAATCAAATTTTTGATTTGGTGGTGACCTTTTTCAAGAACTAAAACAAATTAATGTCTTTTTCACAAAAAATTATAGATTTAAGACAGGAAAATATTGTTAAAAAAGTCATAACCCTTACACTACACACTGTTTATGATAGGGCAGGTGTAATTATTATGTACCCTACAGATTAACTATATGAAACCCTAAACAAAAGATTGACAAATGTTCATAAAATTTGTTTCTATAAATGTAGAAAGAGGATTTGTTTAAAGGCAGAAAAACAATAGCAAGGGACAGTTATGACATGCTGATGAGGAAATACAACAGAAACACAATGAGCTTAATTTGAAATGTTTTGCTGGGCCTTCAAGTCAGATTTCCCAGCTTAATAGTTGGAAACCCACTTTCTCAGGATTTGACAAATTTTAATTTTGCAAATAAAGTTCATAAAATTGATGCCCCTTGCCTCCCGTATAAGACATCAAAAGGACTTGTATGTGGAAAGATTAAAAGGAGAGAATAACAAGAAAAAACAAACACTATATTAATTTTTATGAAGAGAAATGTTTGTATAGCTTGAAATTCTAATATGAAACACCCTTTGGCAAACATCTGCCAGGGAAATCAAAAATTTCATTTCATTTTGCATGTGTTTATATAATTCTAGAAACAGCTATTCTCTGGAAAACTATGAAAAAATGTTTGCACTAAGAAATATTACACTTAAATGAGGTTTTTATTAAGACAAAAAGAAAAATGTAGACCAATTTCATTAATGTGTTTTTTTGTTTGGTTCATTTTTTTTACAGCTTATCAAATCTCTGCAAGTTTTTTTTAAAGATAGAAAATTCTTTTTAGATTATAAGAAATTTTCTTTTTTAGATAATGATTTAGTGATACAAGTCTTACTAATTAACCCATAGTTTGGGGGGGGAAGGTGAATTCATATTTTTCCCAAAGGTATTTGCATGTAAATGAATATAATGAATCCGATTAACAATTCAGAGTCATTATTCATTACATCACCCATACACCCAAGCTTACACCACCCATACACCCAAGCTTACACCACCCATACACCCAAGCTTACATCACCTGGTATTCCCAAGTGATCATCCATCTAGGTACTGACCAGGTTCATGACTGCTTAATTTCAGTGATCGTATGGGAACTGGTGTCAAAGAATGTTGGAATGATTTGCATCTTGTGATTTGTTGCAATGTTAACTGTCTTTCCAGAAGTGATTCTGTTTATTATTGCCATTCATTCTTGACGGTTTAGGAGACATGCCGACAAAGAATTAGATTGCATTGCACAAGTGACAAAAACCTAAATCATATTTTAATGTGGATAAAAGGAATTTTTTTCCTGATGTTGAAACCTTTTAAAATGTTGGATAGGTCTGCTACTAGGAAAATTGGTTCACTGTGTCTGGTTAGATAATTTTTCTCATCAGAATTTATCTTGCTCATTTATAAGCCAGCCATTTGTCTGTGCATCAAATACAGCTGCCACATCTGGTCTGGTGTTTTTGCTATGTATCTAGAGTTTGTTGATGGAATCCAAAGAATCTGAAATGTTATCAGTCCTTACCTGGCATTTCATCTTCAGTTATTTTCTCAATGCCATAACATATTTTCTCCATGCTTTTTCCATACTTTCATGGTAATTGTTCTGATGAGCTTTCATTGGTAGCTTGACTTCATGAATTTAAGTGCAGTACTAGATTGGTAGCTAGGTCTCATCATTTCACTGTTGAAATTGCTATGATAAAACCATAAGTTCTATGCTAATAGTTTCTTCACTGGCACTTCTTGCTTGTGGAATTTTTTTCCAGCTTTTTGAGCTTTAAAAATTTATGAGCGCAATGTCACTCATTATCTTCTTCCTTCCTGAATCCTGTCCTCTATTTTCCTATCTCGGTAACACGTTTTTTGCATCTGAGTAGATTCTATTGCCTTGCTTGGGTAAAATGGTTCAAAAATAAATAAAAACACTCTTCCCAGTTTGCAATGATCTTCATACTTCCTACATATGAACTAGGAACAGTATTTGCTTGTTTTAATTTATAAAGTTTCAATGCTTCTCTGGTAACTAAACATCCATATGAGTTATGTAGTATATTGAGATTGAAGCTTATTGTAGAAATGAATCAGACAAGTGTGAAAAGAGACCCCACCACCACCTTAACTAGGGGTGCACCTTGTGCAATGGGAACAATGATCATTGTTGACTAATTCATGCCTTCTCCATCAAGAGTTGTGTCCTCTTTCATAATTGGCTGTTTGGAGAGAGTAGTGAGACAATGCAAGTGGCACTGTTAGCAAGATTTGCCTAGAAACAGTCAGGCTTTGTCATTGGCCAATCATAACTGATCTGTGATTGGAAACAAGTACACTTAAAACTGGTGCTTTTTTTTTTTTTTGAGTGAAAAGCAGTCTTCTCCCAACTCTGTTGTTGGTGTGAAGGACAAAAGCTTGTATAATCTATGTGTTCGATTTTTCTTGTTCTTTGTAAATGAACTACAAATATAATCATCTGGATAAATTAATAAAAAAAATTTCTATGAAGTTAAAAGAGGTTCTTTTGAAAAACTGTACTGAATGCAAATTGAGTGTGTGGGGAGTAAACATTACTTGAAAACTGAAATATACACTATAAAGAGTTAACTTTAAAATTATCCCATATCAAATCCTGATAAAATACTATAAAAAACAAATTTTTCTTTATAAAATAGCAAAAAAAGTCTATGACAAGCAGGTAGTTGGCAGCAAGAGTCTTTCATCAAATAGACAAATCAGTTTGTATACTGGATAAATAGGGTTGTTAACAATTATGAACTTCATTCTTTTTCTAATAGAGTTTGTGATGTTTAGGCTAACATATCTCTTCTTTTTAGGCTCATTAACCCAGGAAAAAAACAAAAAACTTCAAATTTAACATGCCAGATTTGCATGAAAGTAAGGATTAAAAAATATTAAATTGCTCAGGAGTTGATTTTCTTTAACATCAATGATATTTGAATTTATAGTCTTATGAAGGAACTAAGATTCTCCTTTTCTTACCTCATTCAACCTTTTAACAAAGAAAAAGGATTGTGAAATCAATGACATGTGTACCTTATTTTAACAATTCAAATAATAACTGCATAAAATAAGCATTTGTGCAGAGACAAACTGTTTTTTTTGTTTTTTTTTTTAACTTTTTTGTCCATAGACCAGAAGTAGATTAGAGAAAGAGAGAGAGAGAGAGCCAACAATGAATAATTCCCTAAAAAGAAAAAAACAGTTTGGGTGGCTAAGATAAAGTTTTCTTAAAGATCAGACTATCAACAAGAGACACCAATAATCACAAACTGCAAAAGGTTCAGGTGACATAAACAGACATTCACTAAAGGAGAATAATGTTTTTTTTTGAAAATTGAATCCCCCCTCCTATAAATGAGCTTGTGCATTTAAATACAAAAATATCACAAGATGTGGACAGGTTGGTTTCTATGCAATTTGGTTGCTCCCTATTTTTGTAAAGAAACAGATGCTCAGACTCTTGTCATGATGTAAATCAGCTGCTAAAAAGACCAAATTAACACTTTAGACAAGAAAAAGAAATGTGTTCCAAGAGAGAGAGAGAGAGAGATCAGAAAAACTAGACAGGCGTTATGCAAATGGTATAGAAAAATACTTTCAAATCAAGAAACCTGCACAGAATGATTGAAAAATATCTGTTTTCATTGTGAAAGCAATAATGTTGGATTATCTGATTACATAAAATCTTGACTGTAAATCTTGACCAAGATAGCATCACATTTCTTTTTGCTTGTATCAGACTCTTATCTAAAGAGATCTGATGACCCCACCTGCACAAAGAAAAAAAAAAAAAAAAAAAAAAAAAAAAAGGCTAAAATGTTAAGAATATTGACTTTTGCATTAATAAATTATTCACAGAAGACATTTAAAATTCCTGATTTCATACAGATTTATATTCTTTCTATTTTTGAACAAGTGACTTCTCTCAGAGAAGCTTTCTTATTGTGATAATCAGTGGAAAGCCTTGAAAAGCTTAAGAAAAGGATTTTTAGACATCCTGCTGCTGCCTTTTAAAAAAGAATTTAAATTATTTCCTTTTGTTCAGTAATTTATTTTTGTTAGGATGAGAAGTCATGCCCAGAAAACTATGACCATTTGTAAAAAAGAGAAAATGAGAACTTACACTTCAAACCTATTCTATTACAATGAAAATAGACTTTTATTCAACTGAAATGAAAGATGGTCCATGCGTGATTCTTATAATATGGAGATTTAATTGGCCTGTTATTGAAATTTGAGGAATAAAAAGCCAAGAAAATAATAATATTGGCAATAAAATTGATGATGATATTTATGATATATTAGTCTTTTGACTAAATTGAAGCACAAAGAGAAAGATTTTAAAGTCGGCATTTTCAGACACAGTTGTGTCGTTTTCTAAGAATATGAGAAATAAACAAAGTGGGACTTACTCATCTGAGGAATTTGGGTTTACTCAAAGAGTAAAAGTTCCACAGGGAGCACTCTAACAAACAACAAGAATATTCTTTGGAAGAGTAAGTCCCACTTCTTTGTTTATTCCTCTTATAGTTGAAAAAGGACATAGGTGTGTACAAAAACTCCGGACTTTAAAATCTTTCTCTTCATGCTTTAATTTAGACAAAAGGATAATATAAAATGAATATCAATTTTATTGCCAATATTGTTATTATTTTTTGGCTTTTTATTCCTCAAATTTTATAACCAACTTTTAAATCTACACACACACACACACATATATAAGAGAGAGAGGGTGGAGAGGTACTTGGCCGAGTGGTTAGAATGTTCACTTTCCAACAATGGAATCTTGGTTTGAATTTACCCAAGGTTGCCTTGTCAGGAAGTTGATTTCATCTGGAGAGGTGAAACCAGCATGCGGAACCTTTGGAAAGTGCCTGGAGACCACAGCATAGGTTGAATAGCAAGATACAGCAAGTCATCATGACCAAGCATTTGAACATACTGCTGTTGTTCAAACTGATGATTATACCAGATGATTATACCAGATGATACACACTCTCTCAGAATCTCTAAGTATGGACTCTGCTCAGTATAGTTGCAGTATAAACCACAGGTGGGCTCTATGGGTGTTTAACAAAGACTGTTTTCAACAAGGACTGGCTAGCCACCTGAACAGATGTGTGTGCTTGGAACATGAGAGTAGCTGTGCATTCATGAATCCATCCAGCTCTTATCTTAAATAACAACTTAAAAGAAACTGTTTGACCAACACAAGGAATGACCAAAATCCATGTTAAAAAAATAAAAAAACAAATGAAAACTACAGATAAAGTTCATTTTCTCCATCATTCATTTCTGTAGTTCACTGCTACTAACAAGCAGATATTTTTTTTCTCCTGATGATGGCCATGCTGGCCAAAACTAGTCAAGGAATCTAACTGAAATAATAAAAATGAAAGAATATTGATATACAACCCAGTGTGTCTGAAGATTTTAATTTTTAATATTTTTTATTGTTCAATATATATATATATATATATATATAGCAAGGCAAAGGTGTTGAGCTTGCAGAAACAAAATTAAAATGTGACATTGAATACCTACATTTGTGTAAGCTAGGTTTGAAGAGGTAAAAGGTTAAAAAAAATCTGTTGCTCAATTTGTTCACCTGTGCTATTAGAGATTTCTGATGCACGTGACAGACATACAGGTGAAAGTGACCTGGTTAACGAAGCAGATCATTAAAATTTACAATAGAGATTAGGCTCAGGAGGATTAGGATGGAGTCAAGACAAATGCTCACCAGATCAAAGTTCATAGGTTAAAGAAGGAAAAAAATACAAACTAAACAATAAAGAAATATTATTAGATAATGAAATTAAGCAGAAAGACAAATTATCTAACTCATGAATGTGTTGAACACCCAAGAAACCCTTAGGAGGGGGGGGTCAATCAGCCAAAATTAAGTTGTTTACTTGTCTTTTATTCAGTCCATAATGGCAGAGAATAAAATTATTTCAAGAACATTAACAAAGCCCCAAATTATATATATATATATATATATATATATATAAAAAGATAGCGAGAGAAATACAGAATGTAGTCATGATCATAGAGTAATTGTGAACTCCATGGTCTTTTACTTATAGTATGA